AGTAAGTTCACAGGGCTCTTTAAAACTCAGACACCCTTGTGTCTCCTTATATAATTTATAAAGTTACATTGTCTGATGATATTTAATTACTGAGATCCAGTGATCTGATTATTTTATTGAAGTTGGTCTGGCATGAGCAAAACAGCATAAAGCACTGAAAACCTTAAGGTATTGCTACACAAAAGCTGCACATAATTTTACCTTCTTTTTCATTGTTTTTCCTCCTTGACGTCTGGATGTCTTAATAAAGTTGGTTGCCGTTAGTGACAATCATGTAAACTTTCTTGCAGAAGTTATCCAGGTCCTCCAACCTTTTTTTAAAAAGGCAGAGAAGGCTCCAGCCAGTTCCGCAGAGAGCAACAGCCCATTCTTTTACCATGAGCTGGATAGAAAGGAAGGAGGGATCTCCCCTACCACCATTGGCTCCTACTTATGGGACCAAAGGACATGATTGTTTTGTGTGTGTTTAATTCAATGCAGAAACTATCTTGCTTCTTGATTTTTATGAGGTGATGAAGGAATGTGTGTATTTGTATTGCTCATTACTTGAGACAAAAAAGGAAGAAGAGTGGGGCTCAGCTAGACAACACATGAGACACAAGTAGGGACACATGTAACATCAAATAACTAATATTCCCAAGCACTGCAGGGTCTAATTCAGCTCATGAGCATGGCTTGGGAGGAAGAAGGACTTCAGCTTTCCCCCTCATACCATTTTCCTGAGCCACTGTGGGGCTCCTTCGTATACTGACTGCCAGGGGTCATTTCCTGCAGGAGTGCACAGGAGCAGAGCTCCGGCAGTAAAGAGCTCAGGGGGCGGGCACATGCAACAAGCCCCACCCCCTGCTCCCAGCAGCCCTCAGTCAGAGCAAGAAGCAGCCAGATAAGTTGCAGAGCTTCCCCCGGCCCCCTGGTCCAAAACAGTCCATTGGTACCTTTAAAACCAAGTTTTATTCAGGTACAAGCTCTCCTCCTCTGCGAGGACAGATCTGCACGTTCCCTCCCTCCCCAATAGCTAGCAATCCAAAACAGTCCCGTGAAGCTTGAGTGGTGGGTGTTGCCTTCTGACACACTTCCGGTGATGTCAGGGGGTGTGGCATATGCAAATAAGTTATGCTAATGAGCTCCTGCACTGCTTTTTCTACGAAATGACTCCTGCTGACTGCAGCATGTGGTCCTCAGCAGCAGAAGAAGAAGAGATTGGATTTATACCTCGCCCTTCACTCAGAGTCTCAGAGCGGCTTACAAACTCCTTTCCCTTCCCCTCCCCACAACAGACACCCCGTGAGGTAGGTGGGGCTGAGACAGCTATGAGAGAACTGTCCTTGAGAGAGCAGCTCTGACAGAGCTATGACTTGCCCAGGGTCATCCAGCAGCTGTGAATGGAGGACTGGGGAATCAAACCCAGTTCTCCCAGATTAGACTCCACGCACTTAACCACTACACTACTTAGCCACTACACCAAACAGCTGGTCAAAGATGGGCCCCCCCGTGATTGTTCTGGCTCAGTAAAATAGTGTGGGAGGGAAAGCTGAAGCCTCCCCCCCCCATGCCATTCTCATGAGCTGAATCTGGCCCTGCGGCACCGGGAAACATTAGTTCCCAGGTGTGTTACATGTGATATGAGTCAGATCTGGGGACCCCAACCCAATTCACAGCATATATATTATCTTGTTGGGAGCTGGGCCACATTATGACTTCCGTGGGCCCTAGGCACTTTTGTCTTCATGGGCTCCTCCCAACATAATAATATCAATATTAAAATTGTTTTTGATATAACTTTAAATACTTCAACATTTCATTTTTTTATGCTGTGAGAAAAAAATTAAAACATTTTCTTCGACTCTAAAAGTTCATTTCTTCTGAAAGTGAAACATTTTTGTGGGCCCCTAAAAGTACTGTGGGCTTTAAGCACTGTGTCTGCTGTGCCTAATGTATAAGTCAGCCCCAGTTGAGAATTTTCACTTGGAAATTTAATGAGACGGAGAAGCCTTTTAAACCTTACCCTGGCCACTTAGAAACCATTTTTCTATGGGTGGCTCCTGTGCCACTGGAATCACATTCAAATGACTCTCACTGCTTGCCTTCATTTGCAGTGTGTCCCTTTAAAATCTCTTTTCTGTCATTCTAATTCTTCTCTTTTTGAAAATAGCTAATTGTATAGTTTCCCCAATATTTCGTCTTTTCAGGAGGATTACAAATGTATCATATGAAGATTATTATTTGACGTGGTTTCAAATAGCAACATCGAGAACAGATGGAGAATTTAAAAGAGCAGGTAAGTGGATGCATCTGCCATAGTATAATTCAACATAGCAGTCTTGATTTGGGTCTTATGATTTAAATAAGGGCAAGGGCTCAGTCGCATGATCCCACCAGTATGACAGCTGCAGGTTTAAGTCATCCTGTACTGACCCATCTGTAATGCCAGCATTTAGGACCAAGCTATGTTCAGAGATCTGTGATCAGATATCCTGATATGTAACTGAGCTGCAGATAGTCATTGGGAAGATGGGCTAATATAGATCAGGCTTGCAGCACCGGGGGGGGGGGGGCGCGTTGGCTTTCCCTCCCTGCACTGTTTTCATGGTGAAAAATGGTTCACCTGAACTGTCTCAGCCCCTTAAGGGCAAAAAGACAGGCACAATACAGGTATCAACCTCCCCACCAACACCAGATGTCCCTGAGGAGTTTGTATGCATGCCAATACAATATGCACAATTCACTATGAATTGACACTTTATATCCAACATGAACTTTCAAAATCCTAAAGGTAAAGGTAAAGGTTTCCTTGCTCGATAGCCAGTCAAATCCGACTCTAGGGTTGCGGTGCTCATCTCCGTTTCAAAGCGGAAGAGCCAGCGCTGTCCGAAGACATTTCCGTGGTCATGTGGCCGGCATGACTAAACACCAAGGCGCACAGAATGCTGTTACCTTCCCACTGAAGTCACCATGGGTAGATTCAAAAACACAGGCACTATAAGCTTAAGGGGATTGAGAGAATGGGTCCTATCTCCTTTTCATTTGGATGTAGCCATTCCTGACACACAACGCAAGACATAAATGTTTACAGTGCAGTGAGAAATCAGTAAGTGATGTGAATATTTGTGGTATACTTCGTTTCTGGATGCCACCCATAAAACCAGAAAGGCCCAAAGTTTTTCACTCCACTATACATAAAATTGATTTAGAGTTAACTCAATTTCTGCCACTGAAACTGAGCTCTACAAATGTCCTTCTTACATAAGCACACTCCATTCTCAAAGTCAAGAAGTATAAGAGAGCTTGGTTCACAGTTTGTTGAAGGAGCAGCCTCCTTTTCACTTTGATATAGATCTGACCACAGTCAATAGTGAAGTCATTACTATGGTACTATATGGCCCCTGGGCTTGCACAGACTGTATGTCTTCATTAAGCTATCTTATACTCAAGTTAGTACTGAGAACTTCATACAAAGCTTTTGTGTTACTTTTGACCTATGGGCAGAATTTTATGCAAGATAATAATCAAACACAAAATATAGGTTGATAAATGCTAAGATCATATATGAAAGAGTTTTTAAAATGGAGTGGGTGGGATTGCTTATTTGTGGCAATTAGCATTTAAATATATTAAAATATATAAAAGAATCTATCCACTGTGAAGTTAAACTGAAGAAAATGTATAAAGAGTTCCTGTCAGGCCTATTAAAAACTGTTCCATTATTCAATATGAAGTGATAAGTGGGGCTTGTGATTTGCTGCTAAGATTTCTTAATCATTTCTTCATCAGAAAATATTTCTGTAAAGAAGGTAAATTTGGAGGCAATTTCAAGCAGAGCTGGAATATACTGATGCTGTCACTAGTTCTGAAAAATATTGACCTTTTGCTTCAGCAGTTCCTTAAATGAAGAGGGGAAAGCGTTGCACAGTGTAAAAAGCCAGGAGAAAAGTGTGGAGTGTTATTTACATATAGCTGCCTGTAACTTCCCAGTATTACAGGTCGCTGCTCTGCAACTGACAACCACTGTATAGCTTTTCTACTCTAAGATTGCTTTGTATTGATATGCTTCTCAATGAAATCTTTTTAAAGTGTTCTTCAGCTGGAAATAATAAACAGGATGTTGGGCTGTTCTTCTGGTATTTCATATTTCCATATTTTTTACATTATTTTAACGAAAAATTACTGCATTTGTCATGCTAGTGTTTGACGACCCAAACTTCATAGCAAACCAGTATGACTGGATGGCAGCAAATGCGATGAAAGGCGAATGGGATGCAGATATGTAAGTATCTCATGACAATTCAGACTCTACACACCTCCAGGTTATACACACTTCCGTATTATATATGTAGTTCTGAAGAACAGTGTCAGCATGAGAGTGTCATCAGTGAATCTAAATGTGTGTTTTTAATTATCTCATAAAATCATCTCTTTCTCATTCTTGCTGTATGATATGCCTGAATTTGTCCTGTGCTTCATATCAAGGTAAAGCCCTAGCCACCTCACAATTCCCAATGCAACTCAAAAGCTTAATGGTACTCCCTATCGGACAGCCCTGTTGTTTGCAAAGCAGTAAGATATCAAAGGGAAGATTAGGACCTCTTTTTCTGCTAAATGACCCCTGGCTTTAACCATAAGTGAGATCTGTCAATAGAATCAAACGCAGTGGCCAAATCAATGAACGGTATGTATAGTGCCCTCGAATCACTGAGGGGAAACTCATGATCTGTTGATGTATACCATTAGCAGGCTATGCAATCCACTTCTTGCTTTTATCCTCTGGGGAATAGCTTGATAATTCCAGGTTCTGGTCTAAGCACACACCTATTTTTATCTGCCTCAGGTCTGTCAGCAAAAGTTTCAGTGATGAAAATCTGAAGCAGTGTTCTAGCCCACAATGATGAGTTTCAGGAGAGGAAATGAGCCTGTAGAAGGCCATGAAGAAGGACCACATCTAACCTTCTTAGAGTTGCCAGCTCCATGTTGGGAAATATCGGGAGATTTTTGGGGTGGAACCTGAGGAGAGTGGGGTTTGCAAAGGGGAAGGACTTCTGTGGGGTATGATGCCATAGAGTCCAACCTCCAAAGCAGCCATTTTCTCAAGGGGAACAGATCTCTGTTGTAATAGCAAGAGATCTCCAGCTACCACCTCGAGGTTGGCAAACCTCAATCTTCTGGTTGTTCAAATTGAATTCATCTTTGTGTCCCGATTCCATGTTCCATTAGTGAGGTGTTTTTGTTTTTGAAAAGGACATGTAGCAAGACGTGGAGAGTTACACGTGACTCTCTGCTGCTGCTTGTGATGGTGAAAAGTGCCATCAAGTCACAGCTGACCTATGGCAACCCCACAGGGTTTTCAAGGCAAGAGAGGTGGCTTGTAGCCTTCAAAAAATGGAATACTAGAGACCAACACTGTCAACAATTCTATGGTCATTTCCCTGCTCTTTCCCCATTATGAGACATGACAGTAACTGCTTCTTTGTTCCACTCTCAGCCTCTGTGCCTCGATGTTCCTTCCCATTAATCAAGTAGGGCATATTTTCCATCCATTTCCATAGCACCCAGTTGATGAGATATATAAGGCTTTATGTGCACTCGCCTTCAGAGGTGAGGCAGGTGGCAGCTAGAAGCAGGACATTTTTAGTGGTTGTTGTTCAGTCACACAGTCAAGTCCGACTCTTTGCGACCCCATGGACCAGATCACGCCAGGCCTTCCTGTCTTCCGCCGTCCTCTGAAGTTGGCTCAATTTCATGTTCGTTGCATCTATGATACTGTCTAACCATCTCATCCTTTGCCGTCCCCGTCTTCTTTGACCTTCAATCTTTCCCAGCATTAGGGTCTTCTCCAGTGAGTGCTCCCTTCTCATTTGGTGGCCAAAGTATTTGAGCTTCAGTTTCATTATCTGGCTTTCCAGGGAACAGTCAGGGTTGATTTCTTTTAGGATTGACTGATTTGATCTCCTGGCAGTCCAAGGGACTCTCAAGAGTCTTCTCCAGCACCATAGTTCAAAAGAATCTATTCTATCTATTTTTAGCAGTAGCACCTCACTTTTGGAATGTTCTCCCCCTTAAGGCCTACCTGGCATCTACCTTACTGTATTTTAGGTGCCAGGCCAAAACATTTCCTTTTACCTAACTGTATGGTTTTATCATTTTAGTTGTTTTATTGTCTGCTTCTGGCCTGAGTTTTGTTATTTTTAGTGTGTTCAGTGGGTTTTATGCAGTTTTTTATGTTTCTATCTTGTTTTTATATTGTGATTTAGGTGTTTTTTTTGTAGTTTTATGATTTTGTTTTTAACCTGTAAAACACCTTGAGCTGGACTCTGGAGAGGTGATGTATTAATTTCCTAAATATTTAAATGAATACATTTGCCACTCTTTGAGAAAATGATGCAAAATAAATACAATTGCCTATTTATTTGGGTCACACTCGAGCCACGCAGCTGCTTAACCCCGATAAATAAATGTTTGCTTTCTTAGCCTGTGATTTCCCCATATGTTAACTAGTCTGCTTAGTTGGTACCTCTGTTTTTTCCAGTTTGGGAATGAAGATGGTTCCTTCATTTCCCATAAGTAAATAGAAGTCGGCTCTTCTGGGATTGTATGGGGAGTGCTTTTGTAATCCTGATCACAGAGCGAGCTTTTGGTCTGATTTGGGACTTGATTTAGGGACAGAGGAGCATATGTTTACCTCTGTATCTCTGACAGAGCAAAGAGTTAGTCTGAATATGATTATGAATAAGGTCATGGCATATGAATTATAGCCACATGAAATAGTCTGTTTTACATCACATATATCTTTAGTTTGTTTTCAAAATATAGTACAAGAAATTACAGCTAATTATTTCATACATATGTTTATATATGGGGCAGAGAAGGTCACTTCACCTGGTATCTTTGCTGTGGGTTCAAAGAAACCTCTGGGCAGCCCTAAGAAGACCTAATTATAGGTTTAAGTTGAAGAAAAGCAAAACCTTGAATTAAATGAGTTTATTTTTCTTTCTGAAGAAACCCCAAGAATATAAGGTTAATTTTTCCTTGACAGAACTTCCTTGTTTTATTTCCCCTAACAGAAGTTCTTTGTTTTATATATTTGATAATTGTTTCATTATGTAGAACCACAGTGTCCTACGTGACCCAAGAAAGCATTCCAAAAAACTAGAAATGTCCTTTTTGACCTATATGTCCATTTTTCACTATAGTGCAAACTGTTTGGGTTCTGTTTGAGAAAGCAGTCTTTGCTGTGAATGGGAACAGATTTTTCATGTTAATTTCATAGAATTACGCAAAGAAATTGCTATGACTTTTTTGTCTTACACCTTTAAACCCTTGGTTGTGAAAATGATCACCTCTCACTGCCATCTGGTGGTAAGAAATAACCATTTTCAAAATGGTTGGTTTGGCAGTCAAAGAACTGATTCTCACAGTCATTATGTGTCAAGAAAGAGTGCTGAAAGAAAACAGGTGGTTTCTTTGCTTGATGCAAAGATTGTCTGAACTCTCCATTATCACAGATTGTCATAGTAGTGTTGGCTGAATTCTGAAAGGTCACTAGGGCATTCAATTCAAGTGAACATCCAGACAAACATTTCTAATGACTGTGTATGGAATGTTTATTTCTATTTAATTCATTTAGACTTTGTCTTTCTCTCCAATGGGGACCCAAAGCAGTTTATATCATTCTCCTCTCTTCTATTTTATCTTCACAACAACCACGTGAGGTAGGTTAGGCTGAGAGAGTATGACTGGCCCATAGTTACCTAGTGAGTTTCCATGACAGAGTGGGGGTTCAAATGTTTGTGCATCATAGATGTGCAGTATGATTACTGAGTGTCTGGGTGTGTATTAGAAAACAGCATTAGGAAATGCTATGAGGAAAATCAAGAGCATTTTATGTTGCATCAGCCCACAGCTACAGAAATGACAATGTGAAATCAATCTAAAACCAAGTTCCTATCTTTGGCTTTGAATGCTAACTTCTCTGTCTCACAGTATTCTCTGAGTTGCGAGTAATGTGCTGGATCTAGTAGAAAATTTTGTCTGACAAAACTAGGAGGCGATTTTTGCTGATTCCCATTCCTCTCATGGCAGACTTCTGATTATTCTTTCATGCTGTTCCTGCTGCTTCCTGTCCCTCAGGAGCAGCTGTTTGGAGGGGCATTTGGGGCTGTAGTGGAAGAGGGAAAGGAAGGAACACCACTCCACTGATAGAAATTACTTTATTCTGCAGAGATTTTGTGCAGGATCCAACTCATTACATTTTAATATCTGCATATTGTCTTTTTATAGCTTTGGGCAGGAAAGAAAGAGCAGTCTGAAAGTCATAATTTCATAATTGTAACCACTCATTATTGTATCTAATAGTAAACTAGCTGTCCCATATGGGGATGATGAAAATAGCAAAGCGGGGCCATCCATAGATAAGATAGGGGCCTATTTGGGGGACACCCAAAGTATGCAGAAACATATGATTCTGTATAATACCCAAGGAGAAAAGAGCCTTAAAAACCAACCTATTGGGGACTAAATATGCTCCAGAAAAATAAAATGTTGAGAGAGCTAAAAGAGAAAAAAAATAAGGGAAAGAAATCAGCCTCCTCAAGCCCCAAACAACTTGAAAAAGTCTAAATAAAGGGGGGGGGGTTTTTTCCGAATGGTTGCCGCCCTCAGTTCCTCACAGGCCCCTAGCCTGTCACTACATCGAATAGTAAAGCAGCTGGTCCCCATTATGATAACAAAAGCAGCAACTCAAGGACGCCAGCAGGCAAGGTATGAGGTAATTTAACTACTCAGGGGAGTCCTGAGAAATGCAGAGCCATATGAAATGAAAACCTCAAAGAACAGCATGGATGAGAACTGAAAATGCTCTAGAAGGGATGGAATGTTGCGTATAGCTATATGTCAGTTAAAGGGGAAAAGTGGTGGAAGGTGGGGAGGCTGGATCAGCCGGAGAACATATAAAAGCACATGAATTTGCCTTACAGGTCTATCAGTCAGCATTCTCTACTTTGACTGGCAATGGCTCTCAATGGGGCTTTCACATTACCTACTACATGATCCTTTTAATTTGATGTGCCAGGGATTGAACCGGGGATCTTCTGCATGTAAAGTAGATACTTTAGCACTAAGCCACAGCCCCTCATTTGGTGTTTTAAATCCTGAGTAGAAAAATAGGGAGGGGGTTAGTCCATACTGGTCACCTCTCTTGTGATGTCTTGTGGGTCCCAAATTGTAAAATATTAGCCTGATAAAAGTTAAATTCATAAACCATATTAGCATAAC